CAAGCTTCCGATCAGTCTGTCGAAGCTGCAATAAGGCAATGCTGTGAGGAGCTCCTTAGCAGCATTGTTGTTCCCTCGGAATGCGAGGAGCCGCCCAAGACTTCCAACATATCCAATGTTCGTTAAGTTAACTCAATGATCTTGGTGCGGAGTTCAGCGTGTCAAGGAACGTCCTCAGCATCTTCCAGCACGCTTTGCTGCACACCAAGACCCAGGAGCCTGCACCATGCCGAGTCTCAGCATATCATATCTGAGCAGTTCTCATTCGACATATAGTTATAGAGTAACTTGGCTTTCGCCAAACAGTCCAGGCGCGAAGAAGCTTTCCGGACTTCGGTCGGTGCACGGGTAATTTGCACTCTTCCAGGAGGAAATCTCCCTGCAGCGCGAGCGCCACATCAACTGGCTGCCTCCCGCCTAGAGCTTGTTCTAACTTTCGCCATCATTCGCCAACGACCGAACCTGTTCTGTCACTCGAGAGTTGTTTCATCAGATGTTTAATTGTGCGCATACAGCGTGCTATGATCTCGGTTTGCGCCCACATTCCCTGTGGATGATTGTGGATGCTGATGCGTCGTCTCTCTGGTTGGTTCCTGGTTGGCAGGGGTGCATGCGGCAGGTGTCACGGTAGGTGCGCATGCAGAAACGCAAGCACGCTTGCAGAGACGTGCGGGCTGAGAGGCGGAGGACAGCTTTTTGTTGTTTATGGGACCGGCGAACTGCGAAGCGGGATATCCAGCACCAAGGCTTTAAGTCATTCCCAGACTGGGCTTGGGATTGGTCTAACCATTGGGCCGGAGCAGCAGCGTGGCAGAGCTAAGGAAACGTGGTCTGGTGTCGTTGCCTCCAAACTTTGCAGGCCAAGCCCAAGCTACAATGGTTAGGTCAAGATGGAGCGACTATCGGCTAGATACAGGACCCAAAGTATCAGTATCGAGCCGGGCATCAATGTCAGCTTCACCGTGGGTCCTTGCACATGGAACGACAGGTCTGGATGCCTCCAGGCGCTCATCTTGGACCATGATTGACATCTGTTGAGATCTGTCGAGGATGACAGACTCACTGCCAAGTAACATCAAGTCACGCTGAGATTCGGTCTTGATGCGCGGAGTATCACAGGATTAGAATCCGTCCAGAGTGCAGGTGCCTGAGTGTCCGCAGGCCATGGTTCGTCTTCTGGATTTCCCACTCTCTGGAGATCTTGGACGAGTTTAGCGAGACTCTTTGGTCGCCTCAGGTCCTGATCCGAGATTTCGTCGTATTGGGTACAACATGGATGCAAAGTCCCAGTTGTAGCGCGAGCATCTGTACCGACACACACTCAAGGTTGCAGCTTTCCTTTCTCACTGTCAAGATCCCACTGGAGGCCGATCACGTCACAGCTTTCGTGTACTGTTCTCGACTGTATCCCGTTCGCTGGCTTTCTTTTTTGCCACTGGGTAACGGAGCCGGCAAGATTCGCCTCTGCAGGACATGAAAGCCCGAAGGAGGTTTGATGCATCATGTTGCGATTCCCAGTGAAGCTTATGATCTCCTGCCTGAAACCTTCGCATCTTTATTGCTGGTTTATTGGAAATAAGTCCTTATATGTCGCAACTCCTTCCCATCGTTCCACCCTGAGTGTTCGTAATGCCTCCTGCGCAATGTTGCCGTTGGTTGGCTCCTCTTTTGAGAGAACTGCGGCACGGATAGGCTCCTGCTAGAGATGTGCAGCAACTTATTTTCTGCGGTCGTGCCGGGAGGATTCGGAGGTGGTCCATCGCAGCTGCCGCACCTGGCCCGTCGCCAGCAATAACGGCAGTTCTTGGCTGACTCAAGCATGTGGTTTAGTTGCGCACATGGCTGATCGGCATTCAGGTGCATGGTGGCAGAGCTGGGTTTTCCCTTTACTGTAGCCTAGACCGGAATGTGAATTAGTTGCGGAACCTCGCAATGTCCGCCATCATGTTTCGTGCCAGGCTCCAACCTATGCAGCTGTCTCCGCGCTGGCCTCCGGCTGAGCCTGTAAGTTTGGACTTGTCAGAGGTGTTGATCCGCTCCATGGAAGCCGTTCTTTGCACAAGTTGAGGTGCTAGCAGGATCGGAGACGGCATACAAGGCCTCGCTACAGTAGATCTCATGCAGAAACATACTGTAGCCTGTGAAGTATGTTGGAGAACGCATCTTCTCTCAGGTTCTGACTGTTCGTGGCCTGTTTGCTAGAACTTGATCGTTTGCAGGCAGTGGACCGCTCTTCCATGTACAGCTTTCTGATGCGAATGAAGAGTTGATGCCTTACTGATGAGCCGGGAGCAGCAACTGCCAGGGCTGCACTGCGCACTGACCACTACGTAATTCCATGTGTGACGCATTCAGTCCGTCGATGATGTAGGGCTTGACTGGAACTTGACTCTTGTGATGCTGGACCTTGTCCGAGGCCCCCACGGTGGGTTCAAGATGCCGTGACCTCGGCAGAACAAACTGAAGAGCAGGGAGGGAGTGCCTTGGGCAAGACAGCTCGAGCTTATCTTGGGTGCTGGCATTTATCGGAGGCCGGTCACGAGCATCGCACAATGACGAGACATACTTTTCACGAATTGCCTGCTTAGGCATGATGAAGGAGAGACAGACATGCGTGGCTGCTACTGCGTGGGATGCCAAGATTTTCCCCACTGCCTGCCTTCAAAACTACAGAGCGAAAGATAGAGCTGCCCATAGATGATCCGACGTGCCCACAACACATCGGAAGGTACATGCTTTTGGGCTTGCGGCTGAATATTTGCAACAGGCCATCGCTGTCGCTTCCATGCTCCACCTTCTCACAGACGAGCTGCTGGAGGGGGTGCCGGAGTACATTCGCAGATGTGGTTCGCCCAGCGCAGTGCCACGTGCTGGCAAAGCCCCCAATGCCCCCCCACTGGATTCTGAGAAGGAACACGGAATGGCGCCATGCAGCGCCGAACGTGAGTAGGTGCCAGCTTGTAGAGACATCTGCCTGTTGAGGTCAGACATGGGAAGGAGGCATTGCTGGCGAAGAGGGCTTGGAGGCCTGAAGTGCTTCTGCATGGCCTGTTGAGGGCAATTGTTGTAATTACAAGTCCCAGAAGGACGAAAAGGACAGGTAAGTTCCTGGGAAGCTGCACTGAACCGAAGCACAGAGACTCTTCCTGCGCATGCATCCTGCAGGCACATGGCGGCTACTCCTATTGTGGGCTGGCGGCGCTTTGCATAGCAGGCGGAACGTCACGCATGCAGCATCCAGAATCTAACAGCTAGCACTGTTGGCAACACGAAAGAGTCGAGTGCTGTGCAGTGTCCTGCGCCTTGTAGCTGACCCAGTCCTTTTCTGCGAAGCAACCGGGCGACGAGCGGGGTCCGATGCACACAGCGCACGTTGTCGCAAACAAGCTGGGAACCTTATGGAGCCTTTGTTTGGGCGTGCCTGGCAGATCCATGATGAGACCCAAGAGTATAGCTAGTGTAACGCCGAAGGTAGGTGCTCCCTAGAGAAACTGTCAAGCTAGCCAAGCACAAGCGGCCTTGCATCCGCTGAACCAAAACCTCAAGCTAGAGAAGCCGCCTGATCGTTGCCAGTGCGGTAGCACACACAAGAAATAAATACATATGAAAATTGTATGTATGTATGCATGCATATATATATATAGAATAGAATGGCATTGCCAGATCCAATAAATACATAGCTAGAAAAATTGATATTGCAGTTGCTAGCATCTCCCAGAGGCAGAGCTGATGCGCTGGACCTACATGCATTCCTCAAATGGGCTGTGTACAAGCAGATGACCCGCGAGGTGCCGCACTTTGTTTCGTAGTCATTTGTAAGAAAACTGCAAAGTCACTGTCAGCCCAGCCCAGGGCGGGTTCCAAGGGCGCGCCAACAAGCTTGTGGATTCCTGCTACTCCTTCTGGCAGGCAGCATGCCTTTGGCTTGCGGCCGCTCTTGTTACTGCTTGTACCTGGGCTGTGCCGGTACAGAGTGTTGCTGCTATCTGAGTGCTGTTTGCACCGCCCCGTCCACACGTGAAGCCGGGCCATGACAGGGTGCCATCTTCCCCCTCTTGCACGAAGCCTTCCGGCAGAGAGGCAGGACGATCTGATCTGATTGCTTCCTGTCATGGCACTGTGTAGCCTGTTACATTATTACAGCGAAGCTATTGCCCGTGACTGTGCCTCACCTTGTTTCATTGAATGGGAGAAAGGATAAGGAATCTGTCCTCATTACATCAGCTGTCCGCCTCTGTTTGACTGCGTAACTTAGACGGCTTCGCGTCCGAAGGCGAAGAAGTTGCTCTGCCGAAAGATCACTGCTGGTTTGCTCCGCAGCCGTCGCAAACTTACTATCACCAGGGCCAAGAAGCCAGTGAGCGGAATCCCACGTGCAGTGTGTCAAAGCAAGCGCATGCGTTGTTGTTGGCGACAGGGCTCGAACATCATCCGAAGCAGACTGTCACGGGTTCTTTGCAAAGGCCTTGATGATCCTTGATGACGATTGTCCTTTTCGCTTCATTGCCGGGTTTCCCCGCGAATCGGCAATATCAAAGGCGTATACTGGTACTTTCCATCACTGTTCTTGTTGCAGCGGAGGATAGCAGATGAAAAGTGAACACGAGTGGTCGATGCTAATTGTTTTCCCAGTTTTCCACGAATCAAGTTGCATGCCGAGGTCTGTTGGATGCACACATCTGAAGCCTCAAACTTGCTTGGAGCTATGTTTCCTTGTCTCGAATTATGAGGCAACAGTCCAGCTGCCACCATCTTTCTTCACATGAGTGAAAACGCAGCAAATTCGCCACGGCAACGGGCGTGCAGATGGAACATGTAGAAGCCTTTGTGCAGACCAAGCAGCACGGCTGCGGGGCATGGCATCATGCGTGAAGAGCTGCGCATGGCTGGTGGCGTATTCCATCGCGAGTGCTGTCAGAAGCATCGAGTTGCGCTTCTCGAGCGTATCTTAATCCTACTTGAGAGTCGGTGTCTACTTGCTAGCGGTTCTAGAAGCATTGTGGCCGTTTGTGCTGAACATGCCATGCGGACATGAGGGTCGACACTAAGACATTTGCACCATTTTGCACCAGTTGCGTCTGCCCCTGATGGCTGATGGCATAAGGTTGCAGACCTACATCCTCCTAGCATGCCATTCCCTCAACAAATGTCTGCGACGTGGCAATGTAGCCGCAGTTTGGAGGATTTGCAATGTAGCGTTTAGCGGCTCTGCAGAGCTTGCATAGCAGTGCACTTGGAGCGAAGACAAGATGATTACAGACAATGCATGACCCGTGGCTTCCTTTTCAAAGCCAAGGTCAGCATCCGAACGGCGGACTTCGGGACAAGCCTGGCAAGTCTGCAGACTTCTACCACACCTGCTATGCGCCTGCATCCCAGCTCGGATGTATTGTGGGTGCGCTGGAACTCCATGGCATGTCCGGGTTTCACATACTTCCGTGCGGCAGTCATGGACGCCAAGAAGGAGCTTCGACTTGCCTTGGCTGGATTGGCCTCCTGAAGTGTTCTGAGGCTCAGCGGCATGGCGGTGAGTCAATACGACGACGCCCTGGCAAGAGTTGTGCACAACGAGCTGTTTGGCTGCTGCGCAAGCGAATCGGCTGGCAGGTACAAGGTGGAACGGCTGTCTTTGGCGACCCGCGCAATCTTTTGGAGCGGACGGACATCTACTACAATGTCGCGGTGGAGAAGGTCACCGGGGCCATGGCTAAGCACGTCGCCGCTTAAAGCTTCAACCTTGGTGCGCATTCCATGAATATACTTTCTGATACTGCTTTGAAGGAACATGTAGCAGGTCACGCTGGTCCTGTGCACACTTGTCAAGCACCGTGTAGGCAGAGCGGAAATGCGCGTACTTCAACTCCTTGCCGCCGCTTTCAGTTGATGGACGGCAGACAGCTCAGTACAGCGTGTTTATATAGAGAACATGAGGCCCTCGTGGATACCTTGCTTACCCGTCTTTGCAGACGGCCTCGAAGTTTTGTGCTTAAATCAAGCACCGAGGACCGTTCAGGGTCGCGAAGGTTCGGGTGCGGCGGCCTTACTTAAGTGGCGGGTGGCTCGTAACCTGCAGTGGCGGCAAGTGTGGGATCCAAGAAGCTGAGTTGCTGCGACAGGACTTTGCGGACCGTGTAAGATTGCTTGCCTCGATCACCTACAAATATCCCAGATCTGATGTTGGGCATGCTTATGGAGTGCCAGAAAAGCTCTAAAGTGGCATAGAGCTAGCAGAAACGACTGGCTTCTGCGGTTGCATCTTTCAACAACAGCTACCCACTCTTTGCCATCCTTGTGCCATTACCTTGCCAAGGCTGTGGCCTGGCGCCAGCACATCAGAACCATCGACCGCTGCTGGCCTAAAGTCTCCTAGAATGGTACTAACAATTACTAGCACTCATATCGCAAAGCCATTCTGACGATCCAGATGCGGCATCTTCCGTCCCGATGTGTGTCGGGCATTAAGAGCGGGCGTTTGTTCCGTGGTTGTTGCATCAGGTCAGGCACAGCAGGTACACGACCGACAAGCTGCAAGCAACCCGGGCTGCACGATGCATTCTGCCGAGGGAGTTTGTTTCAATTCAATGTCAGACCTTGCCGAGAAAGCAGTGCAATTCCATCGCAGGCTCCGCAACCTACACTGCGAGGAAAGGTGGTTATGCAGGCGTCCCTTCCGCTGATGTTGCAGTGCACTGTTTTTTGATGCCCGAACCCTGGTTAGACCCTGGTTGCTTATGCACTCCCAGATGCTTTGGATGATGACTGGATGAAGCTCCTAAATGCTATTGGTCTTGTATCAGCAGGATATCCGACCCTGACATTGAGGCAATTGTTCAAGACTAGTTGAGGTCAGTGATTGCACACTCGGCTACGACGAAGAGCCTGACGTATAAAGTATACTGAGGGCTGCATGACCAGAGATGGTCGTTCCACATGTCATTGCTAGGTGCACTGTTTTCTACAACTGCGTTCCTGGGTTCACTATGCTGGCTTCATGCCTGCCTGCAGGTGAAGTGGAGTGACATCCGCTGTTCGGAAAAGGAGCGATGCGGATTACTTAGATAGGCACTCTTACAGTAATCATAGTAATCCAGTAATCCTTATGGTGACGTTTACAGCAAGTGGCAAGACCGACATTTTCCCTGGTTGGAGTGCGCTTGTATTGGATTGCGGCTTGTGCCCGGAGCCTTTTGGCTTCAGCCGGCTGTATTTGACGATGATCTCTGGCAGCAAATTTGGATCTAAGGGCTTTGTGCCATGGACCAGGCAAGATCCCCCGGGAAGATTTCGGAAAACATACCAAACCTGCGGACTACCTGCCACTAGTGGCTAGCCAACCCACAGCATCCTACCCAAAGTAAGAGTAGGTGACTCCAGGGCTCCCATGATGGGGCCTTGAGCGGACACCGAGCGAGGTGCCCCCCGAGGCCGAATGCTCGAGAGCAAAGATAAAGTGAGCAGAGCAAGCATTTCCAGAACTGCCGAGGAGTGTTGTGCAAAAGCACACCACGGGCTGTGTTTACAGGATCGTACCGATAGCCCGCAAGATCACCACTGGGTTGTGTGCCACGCTGAATGCCTCCAGCTTCATACTGTACTTGCGATGTAGGATGAAAGAGTGGCAGGGCGTACAAAGGGGGACGGTCTGTACCGTGTTGACTGTTAGGTATGGCGCTTTGGGAAATAGTCGGTGGCAGCGAGGCAGGTGGCATCGTGGTGTCCTGGCTGCATTTTCTTGCAGCGAGGATTTTTGACATGCCTCCCACCTCTTACCGCGCCGAGGAGCATTTGAAATTAAGGTGCGTGAAGGACGAGAACTGAAGTCACCACAGGCACGGAGGTTAGATACGGTAGATGCATGCCAACAAGCGCACCAGATCGCAGAATGAGCCCTTGCGGGCAGCGAGGAGCCCGAACGGCTGGCGACGAAGTCGCTTGTGGAGGCAATCCTGGTTGTGGTATCTTCCGGTCCTCTCATCTCTCAATTTTCGACCTTGGATCCGATTGTTTCGAATGTGTCGTTGATCAGTGGGGTTGCTGGTAGCCCCCTATTCATATTGACTTGTTTGTCTGGGAGTCGCCTTGAGAGTTCTACTGGTCCTGGATTCTCGATCGACTTTCTGCACGAAGGCTGAACAATGGTCACCCGTGTTTGGACCGATGTCTTCTGAAGCCTCAAAGCAATGCCCCTTGATTCGCGGGCGCAGGTGCCTTTGCAAAGGCATCTTTAGCCACATCATTCCGCACTCACCCGCCCGACCAGACGTCCCCCTGTCATGCCAGTAGCTGCTGCCCCACCTGTGGATCTTTGTCACCATCATGAAGCAAATGCCATGCTACACGACAAGATTGTATACATCAAGCTCACACAGGGTATAACGTTCCCATCGTTTAGATGTGCATGCTCAAATGTTCACTTCTGTCAGAACTATTCTGCTGCGTTTACTGCTGAAGAGTTACAAGCTGCATGAGCAGGAGTTGGAGCTCGTTGGAGAACGCCTGCACTACCGCCTTCAGAGTGGCCGTGGTCCTCAAGAAGGCAGGCTCTGGTAAGTTGCGACCCCGGGTTCGCATGAGGTTGACGACGATGACGACGAGGGGGATAAGTGTTCGACTTCACGGTAGCCTGATCCCCCGCAGGAATCCCTAAGCCCATTAAAAGCCCTTGGCAGTTCTAACTAAGAGGCAAGAGAACGGAAGTGAAGAGGAGGGAAGGGCAGGGGAGCGGAGGGGAGATGGGGGAGCAAAAATCGACCGTTTGAAATAGCTGAATCCACAAACAAGAACTCTTCATTAATTTTGTGGATGGGAGAGAACGGGGGAGGATGGTAGAGTGGGGGGGATGGAAAGGGGGTTTAGGGGGGCGCCGGAAGTTTCACAAGGAAAGGAATTCGGGGTCGATGGGAGGGTGTGGACGGATGGGGGGCAGGGCTGGGGGGCAGGCATGGGGAAGTTGAGGGCCAGAAATGAAGTTGTATGTGCAAAGATGTTTCGATCTTGAGTGTAGAGTCTACAGCCGATGCCAGGATGGATCAGCATTCGAATTTCCGGCAAGGAGCCAGAGTCGGAGAGCTTGTGAAGACGAGGACCCTGCTGGAGTGCGTGAATTGGAGGAACTGGCTGTACGCCGTGACGAAGCCGGTCTAGCAAATGGAGCTCCGCCGAAGTGGGTGGAGGCAGCTGACTGAATTGAGTCCAGTCGAATTCCGTTCATGTCTGGCCCAGTGCCCTATAGAAACATGGGCAGGAGTCAGCTGAGAAGTTGCGTGCATGCCTCGGATCCAGATGCTGGTGGACTTGGTTCCCTCCCACCGATCCCCGCAGCTCTGTACTGCGCGACCAACCTCGGAATCGGCTGCACTGCAAGGCGCGTTCCGCGAAGGGCGGAAGATGCTGCCGCCTCCAGACCCTTGGACCATCTTGGACCAGTGAATACCAGTGAGCATAACTAAGGGGAGTAGGGAAGGATGATGGAGCTGCCGCATCTGCCGCTGTGCTCCTGGGTTTGCACGTTGCTAACGTGAATGCATGTGAATCATGCCGCATCCCATTCGCTCAGACATCATCCAGAACCAGCCTCAATCTACCACCCTAAGCTGCACGGGCCGAGGTTGACACACCTGAGAGACTCCTGCGTGAGGCACGGACAGCAGCTGGATAATGCCGGAGAGTGAACGCGGGCTGGCGAATTTTGCAGGTCCAGCCAAAGGACATGCTCCCGCCTTTCAAGCGGTTGAGCCCCAAAGAATCTTGGCAAAGGTCTTGTAGGCAACTGCAGGACAGACGTCATGTCTGCGTGAACCTTCCTGTGCGAGCGACCCAACCCAAGGAGATGGCAGACCGCACCTCAGTTTTGTCACCTGACCGAAGTCTCTCAAGTCATCTCAAGTCTAAGTAATTAGTGGTCAGACTGAGTCAGACTGTTGACATTTTTCAGTGGCCTTGTGCATGGGACCGCGCAGCAGCATTGCGGTTGTGACTGCCAGCAATCACAAGTGGCTGCAAGGGCAGCTGTAAGGCGGGCGCTCGATTCAACCTTAAGACGAGAGCCCCATGGCTGAGGAGATGTCGGTGAAGAGCTTGCCAGGCAGGCTGCAAGGGCATGTGCTCAGGAGACCAGCTCTTGACCAGAACGCTCGGCAGCCCCGTGCCGGAATTCCAGTTTGCTGATGAAGGGTCAAAGCAGGTGCACAGTCAGGTCAATGCACGCTATGACATCTCATGTGCCGGCTGAGACAAAAGTTCTCTGGCGTGGAGGCCATTTCTCCGGCATGAAGTTCCCGCACAATGTGGAGCAACTGAAGTCTTGTGGGCCGTCGTGGTACACCCAAGCATTTCATAAGAGCCTCGATTGCAAAGACAGGAAAACGTCCATGGTTTAGTGATTCTTTGTGATATTGGAGGCGGCGATTTTCAGACAGCAATGGAGCTTTTCCCCAAGTGAGAATGAATTTGGCAGGCCACATGCTACCATGCTACAGCCAAACAAACTAGGTTTGCAGAAGAATGTTGCCTGTTTGGCAGTCACTGAAGGTTTGGGACTCTGCCGTTGGACAATAGCGTGGTGAAGGCCTGCACAAGAGCCGGTTGACCGGAGTTTTCGGGTTGTTTGCCTTGGGGCTTAGTTGCCTAGGCCAGGGGCAAACGCACACATGTTCACTGCCAGCTTGGCGTCATGTTGCTGCCTCTTCTCAAGAGGGGGATCGGATTGCTGGTACCTGAGTGGCCGTTTCATTTTTTATAACACCTGCATCAAGTGTTAACTAACACAGTGTTAGCGAACTTCGCCGCGGCTGCACGATTTTGGCACCGCTTTCTCGCTCTGCACAACGCGTTGTTCGAGAGTTACCAAGTATGCGTCCAGCATTGAGCAATTCAAGAACAAGACCATGCAAGAGCCAGCTCAGACGGCGAAGTAGAGAGAAGGGGCATGAGAAAGGTTAACAGAGTCTTACAATGAAGACCCTATGTGGACATCAGCTGGCAGATTGACCGTGACCGCGTGGCCGAACAAAACAGGCAAGAGGTTCGTTGGCTGGATGCGGCTCGAAACGTTCCAGGCTCTTTGCATTCTCTCGGTACATTGGATGGTTTCTCAATAGCTTT